TCACTTGCCTAACCATTTTAGTCACCAGCTAATCCATGATGAACTAAAAAACTAAGAAAGAATATTTTCTGAATGGTAGAATAAAGGAAGTATTTTTTTAAGGTAGGAAAATACCAGGGAAGTTGGAAAATGCTTCAGTTTCAGGTCTGGTAACCTAAAATCATGAGTGCCCTAAGGGCTACTCTTGAACTCTATGAAGAATACTTTGTGGGTCAAGGCTTAAAAATCAATCGCCAGTCCATGAAGATAGGAACTATGCTACAAGAGCTATTAAGTACTGAAAAAATAACCACGTATTTTTTATTCAAAAGCTGTTATTGAATATTCTGAGTAATATGATAACAAATGCAAAACATTCAAACTGCTCAAAATGCCATCCCCTAAAACATCAGGGCTTTATTTTCCCTTTCAATTCCTATGGTTGTTTCTTCCCACATAAACCCCATGTCATCCTCCTCTCCAAATTTAACATGCATGTAAATCTTGTCTTTTTTTTTTTTGGTTTGTAAATCTGTAACAGCTTCTCAATACACACAAGAAAACCTGGAATTCTCTTGGGTGAGCATTCAAGAACCTCTGAAAGTTGACTCCAGCCTACCTTTTCAAAGTTTAATTTTTTAAATTATATTATTTTTTATCAAGGTAGTGATAGTTTATAACACCATATACAGTTAGGGGTATTGGTTATACCTTTTCAGGTGTAAATTGCCACACTACGTCCACCACAAAATACCCATAATCCTCCACTGTAGTTCACTGGATCCTTCCTTTATTAGTTCCTACCCTATAGCAGCTTCGGTTCTAAGCAGATTTTCTGGCTTCATTTTGCTTTGTTTTGTCTGTTTCTTTGTTGTGCACACATGAATGGAATCATCTAGTATTTGTCTTTCTCCTAATTCATTTTCCTTAGCATAGTACCTTATGACTCTATCCATGTTGTAGAAAATGGTAGTATTTCACCTTTTTTATATCTGAATAGTAGTCCATTATATGCACACAAATTTACATACATACTCATGCTCTCTCTCTCTCTCTCTCTCTCTCTCACACACACACACACACACACCCATCTCACACATTTCTCATCTATTCTGTGGGCACTTATGCTGTTTCCATAGCTTGGCTATTGTAAATAGAACTGCAATGAACATAGGAGTCCATATCTCTTTAAATTAGTGTTTGGCATTATTAGTCCCTCTCTTCAAGGACAGGGACTGTTATTTTTAATGTTTTTCATATCCATAAATGATAAAATAGTCTACATTTGCATAGTCTGTGGACAAGGGTTCCTTTTTCTCCACACCCTTACCAACATTTGTTGTTTCCAGCCTTTTTAATATGGGCATTCTCATAAGTCAAATATCTCACTGTGGTTTTGACTTGCATTTCCCTAGTAGGTGATGATGAACTTTTTCTCATGTGCTTGTTGGCCATCTGTATGTCTTCTTGAGAGAAGTATCTACCTAGATCTTCTGTTCATTTTTCGATAGGGTTGCTCTCTTACTAAATTGTATGAGTTCTTTATAGAGCTTGTCTGAAAAAATTACATGAGTTCTTTGTAGAGCTTGAATATTAGTCCTTTATTGGAAATAATGTGCAAATATTTTTTTCCCATTCAGTAAGGTGTATTTTCACTTCAACGATAGTTTCTGTTGCTTTACAAAAGTTCAGTTTTAGTCTGGTATAGTCCCATTTGTTTACTTTTGCTCTGGTTTCTTTTCCAGTCTACTTTTCAAATCATGTGTCTATTTTGATTTGATTACCTTTTCTTTATCTTATACTCTTATGATAGTTCAACAAAACATCCAAGTCTTCTTCACCATTCTTAAGAACAACCCCCCCCCACCATCCCTTCTCCTCACTCAGCCTACATGGAAGTCTTCCCCATATGCCTCCCATTACTCCACATTTTCTCTCACTTCAATATCTAGTTCATTAATTACCCCATGATTTTCTCTCTTTTGAATCCATATGGGATTTAATGTAGAAAGCATTATTTTCCAGAAAAATCTAGATCAAATATGTAAACTCTGTTTTCCACAGAGATCATCTTTTACCTTGAGCTTTTATATAGCTCTTATTTTGTACTTTTTCTAATATTTCATAATCTCATACATATGCAACTAATTTATTAAGTGATGTTTCAGTAAGTGTTACCTTCTTTAAATATATTTAAAAAATCAGTCAATAATCCCATTGGCAGATAGGGAGAAGAGAAGCAGAACATTTTGACAGGGTCCCTAAGAAAATCACTTAGTATAAAAAATACTGATTTTAAGTTTTAGCTAATGTTGGCAGATAGGACTAATTCTTATCACATTAGGGAACTTCAGAAAGATGGAGACTCTCAGATGGAACAGGCTCAGGGGTAGGATAAAATGTCTGTTTTGCATGTTCCTGGTTTTTTTTTTTTTTAACTCTGAAGGTTTATTTGCTTATTTGAAGTTCAATTTGCTTTTGGCTATGTCAAAATGAGGTCAAAAACAAAAGAGGTATATCAAAGTGCCATATAATTCTGGGAAGCATGTACAGAATAATCCAAAGCATTTCCAATATGCCCCTTACCAAAATAACATTTATTTTGACTGTCTCCTATAAATCTTTCCTAGAGTCACAACATAAAGACATTTGGCACCATTTAGCATTGTCAAAACAACTGCAGACTTTATGAGTAGTACTTGAGAATAAACTGCTACGAGGCACTTAAATGTTAAAAATGATACCTTTCCAAAGAATTATTACCACTCTAAATCACTCAAATATGGATTTAAATGTCATGTTAATAAATACTACAAAGTGAGAATGTACTAAGAAATAACACTTATGAAATACATGATAATTTTAAATAAATTGTGTTTAATTGAAGTCATATGTTTATATTACTGAGTATATGTGACAAGTATGAGAAATAAAATTTAAAATTCCTACCTTGTGTCTGTTTCTTGTTCACAGCATTGTCAGCTTTATGTCGTTTCTACAGTTTAAAAGCAAGAACAAAAACTGTGAAAATGTGAATGAGATTAATTGAACAAAATAATAGCACATAAAATGAGATTTCTTTTAACATGTTTCTCCTAAGTATAAGATAAAGGTTGTACAGGAATCTTAATATTGAAAGCATATTTATATAATGTTCTTTTTCTCAAGTACAGGGAAAAGGCTACAAGTGGCAAAAGTACATGTTTATACAATATTCTTTTTCTCAAGTACAGGTGTGTGGTCCATGGAGGTGTTTATATTATCATACAGGTAAGATTAAATTTTTAGTATACTAGAAAAAGTTCAAGCTGAAAGGCTGATTTAGTCTTTTGCTTAAACAATTCAGTTAAACAAAGACTACCTAAGGCCCTCCCTGGTGGCGCAGCAGGTTAAAGCACTGCACTAAGAAGCGTAAGTCACTTCTGCATGAGTTCAATCCCTGCCTGCCCCGAGGAGATCCACATGGCGAGGCAGACCTCTCCTGACCCGCCCGCTGCTCCCCTCAGCAATATACTTCGTCGATCTGCCTGTTCTGTTCCCCACTCTGTCCCTGGTGAATCCTCTCACCGTCCGCATCTCTGGCCTGTACCCCAGTTCTGTATGAATAAAAAAATAAATCTTAAAAAAAAAAAGACTACCTAAGAGTATTTTCTATAATAGCCACCATTAATAACATATGGAACTATTTTCAGCTTAAGAAATTAATTATCTAATTAAGCTGAATATATCCACTATGGCTTATTAATGAGCTTTGCCTGTCAGTGACTAGAACCACGCACATCTACCACTTGCATAAAGCCTCTTCTATCCACTGTTTTCCGACAGCCTCTCCCTCTGCCAAGCCACTGAGGTTCATGATCCTATTTTCTTTCCTCCAAAAAAAGTGCTGAGAAAAGTAAAGGGTAAACAGGTGAGTTCATTAAGTCTAGGTTCATGAATTTGGAGAATCACATAAGTGAAGACTTTAGAGCAATAAGAAAAAGAAATGACAGCTTAGCGGAAAGGTGAGAATTTGAGTGGTCAGGGAAAGTGATCTATCTGCAGTTCAGTGAGAGGTTTTCCATGAACTCTGTCTAAACTTACAGCATCAAATATAACACACCAGCCTCTGATGATGTTGTAGGAAGTGTTGGGTGTAACTAACTCTGAGCTCAAAGATTCTAATCACATAAAGCCCAAAGTCAGATTGAACTACTCATATCTGACTATAAGGTAGGTTGGATCAAATGAGTCCCTACGTTTTCTATTTGAGAAGAAACCTGGTTTTAGATCACAGTGTGCATATGAAAACACTCTCCAAGAGAGAAGCCTGGGTTCACTTTCAAAGTCGCTGTGACAGTCTACAGGGAAAAGGCTGCAAGTGGCAATGTGAACTCAGCTCAGCCATACCATGCAGACAGCACATTCAAAATGCATCTTCGGAAGGCTTTTTGAAAACGATTCTTGCCACATCCACATGGAAGAATAATAACTTCTTTCTCAGAATAAAATATTCATTAATAAAAGTATAATTATGCAGTTACGTTAATAGGCAAATTATGGCTTCCAAAAGTGAGCAAATGTTCATACATGAATTTTGAAAGACCTGCTAAATTTGTAGCATCAGTGGAGAATATTTCATAATAGATAAAACTCTAAAATATTTATTTTATTAACAAAGATCTTAAGAAAATTATAAAGGGACCCCAAATAAATTTTAACACAATAAAGCAAGACAAATTTAGATTTTCAAAGGTACAAATATTTCCAAAACAAAGCACATCTATGACAGAAAATAGACTTCAGCTCCTGAAGACAAATAAAGGCTAATTAACGATACATTGCACTTAAACAGGAAATTTAATCTTAGTGAAACCTAAGGAGATCCTGAACATTACTTTCCATCAATAGAGAATTCTTGCTCAGGAACATGCTCTCTTCTTCAACCTTCCTACCACTGAATAAATAAGGCTATATGTCAACAAACATACACATAAGGATCCATCCACAGAGGCCGATCTAATTTTCTGATTATAAAAAGCAAGTATTTATGTGTCCTAAAGAGATCATTATTTCTTCTCAAATTAATAAAAAAAAGTTCTCTGAGTTCAAATAGCTCCACTGTCCTCTAATCATTTAATATTGCGGAGAGCTAGTGAATTATTTAGTGTAATCTATATTTGATTGACAGTACACCAACAACTACTGTATAAATAGTGTCTTGAACTTTAGGAGAGTTAAGTATGCAAATGCTGACCACTGTTTCCTGAGAACTTTTCCTTCTCTGGGCATTTCTTATTATATCATCACTCAGATTTTCCAGAGACATAAGGGCATCTTTATCAACTCAGTTATTATTCAGTGATGAAATTCCTCAGGTCTTAGTACCTTCTCCCCTTTGCTTCTCATTCTATAGTCTCTTTCCAGTTCAGCTTTTCATAATTTCAGTTTGATTTAACTGACACATAAATATACACCCATTAAGTCCCATATGCAGTTATATCCAGTTGCTCCCTTGACATCTCTGGCACACCCTCTCAAATTGTCAAAAGGCAACCTATGATATGAAAACCCAAGATTTATATCAGACATATAAACTAGGAAGTTGAGGTTGAGTCTTCCTTATACCTTTCCCATCTCACTCCATCCAATCCACATTATCATTCAATAAGTGTTTGCTAATCCTTAATCATGTGCCACACCCAGTCACTATTGCTCAGGGCACAGCAATGAGCCAGACACAAAAACTCTTATTCTCATGGAGCTTACAATCTAGGGGTTGGAGATAGAATCTGAAGAAAGTAAATATGGTGGTGATAGCTTGTCCATTTGATTCCTAAATATATACTGGATTCATTTTTCCTTATTTCTTCATCTCTACCATACCACTTAGTCTATTTTCACTTTTTCTAATCAGTTACTAGAATATTCTAATTAGTGTACCCAAATCCTCTCTGGTTTCCTTCCAACCCATTTTCTGTATTGTATGATCTGTGGATGATGACGCTACAGCTAGCATTTAATCAGTACTTACTAGACACCTGGTACCATTCTGAGGGCATCATATGCATCATTTATTTCTCATGGGAGCCTGGCGGTTACTTGATTAATGTCTACCTCTTGGACTCAACTACAAAGCTCCACCATTCACTAGCATATTCTCAGTACTTGGTCTCTGGACACAATAGACTTAAAATAAGTATTAGATTTATAACAAAGCTTACTAGTGTTCAAGTTACCAAGTTTATAGCAAAGAAAGTATGCTTTGAGTGGTGAATATTAACCAGCCTTGGCCCTTAACCATAGTCAAAATTTGACATGGCAAGGCTTTTCTTAAGTTCTCCATCAATTTCAGAGTAGTTCCAGGAAATGTATGTCATTTGTTACTTACATATAAAAATAAGAAGTGTTATTATGTATGTTCTCCAGAGTAATTAGTGTTGAAATGCACTGAAGTGGTTAAGTCAGGTATCTTACCTGGCAACAATTCTTAAGTTTCATTCTAAAACATTAAAATGTTTAAGAGAACATAGGAGGTTTATGAGAATGCAAACTTTCTTTTAGTCATCAATGCAAGAGTGTTGGACATTACTGTTCTTCACCAATACCCAGTTCTCCACTTTCATGGACACGAAGTCTCCCTTTTGTCATGTCATTAGTTTCAACACTGGGTTGTAGGAAGATGTGATGCACACCATTTTTGAGTCAAAACAGAGGTGAGATCACCATTTACTACTTTCATCTACTCTGGTGATCTCTAGCATTTCACACTGCAGGGTCTTGATTCTGCTACATTTCTCAGGAATAATAGTGCCTCTTGCACCCTCTCACCCAGATAACAATCTGCAATGTCTTTGAGGATATAACAAAAAACACATTTAAGCCACTGACATTGGGATGTGATTATTACAGCAGCAAAACTGTAACACACATACATCCTACTGAATGCTTGGTTACCTCCATACTGCTTTGTATATTTTTATTGATGAAAATGTCTCTTCATTATAACTGATACAGAATTTTTTTTTTTTTTTTGTCTAACTAGCTAAACTATTTGATATTTTCCTTTCTAGGGAGTAATATTTAAAACTTTCATAGGTTGATGTAAATTTCTTGTGAAGCCAGTTTACAGACTACTTTTAGACACTTTCTAAACATGATTGGCTTTACTGAAAAGCAACTTTACATGGTATCATTATTACCTTACAATATCATTATCACATCCTTCAGAAACTGTGATATTACCTGCAATCCAATAGTACCCAGTTATTAACTCATGCCAGTAGTTTTGTTTAAAAACCCATTTCCTGGCCCTCCCTGGTGGCACAGCGGGTTAAAGCACAGCACAAAGAAGCTTAAACCACTTCCGCATGAGTTCGATCCCCGCCTGCCCCGGAGGTGATCACATGGAGAGGCAGACCTCTCCTGACCCGCCCACTGCTCCTCTCAGCAGTGTACTTCATCCATCTGCCTGTTCTGCTCCCAGCTCTGTCTCTGGTGAATCCTCTCACCCTCCGCATCTCTGGCCTGTACCCCGGTTCTGTATAAATAAATAAATCTTTAAAAAAA